CATAATCAATGCAATACTAACGACTAAAGCACACAACGTACAGATTCTGAAAAAAAGGACACACAGGAGTAAGTGTGCCGTTTCTCCGACAAATTTCCTAAAGCAAACGAGTGGTCGTCAGTCTATTGAAACGGGCGTTGTGAGAAAAAGAAAGTAGCCAGCCAATCGTTTTCCTGGCTCGGCGACCTTCCTCGACTTTACCGAGCCTCGGCGGCACTTCTGTGACCGCAGATGAATCTGCGCGGCATTTCTGGAAACGATCTATGGGAATACCGGAGTCACGACACGTAGAAAATTTGTCGACTTTCGCTGTTCAAGGCCGACGAAGGAACGCGGGAAGTAAAACGTTCGTGCGGTATATTCAAGCTCAGTTTTCAGTTCACTGTCTACATAACATTGATGATCATTTACATTTTACATGACCGAGGCATAGACATAGTCAGCGATAAAATATGAAAGGGAGACCTGTTGATAACACGAACTACCTGTTGGCTGTTCATATCCCTCGAGTGACAGACTATAGTGTCACGTCAAAACAAGGTGAACATAATGCCGATATAGTAGTATAGTGGTGATTTACTGTTCTAAAGAATTCAATATGAACAAAGAATGTTAGTATTGACGGACTTTAAAAGCTATTGATTATAAGAAGATAAAATTTATTGTCACTCAAGAGATTGAGAACGTGGCGATTGAATTTTTTAATTGACATCTTCTGTTAAAGATAGGTATTCGAAAGTAAAATCGATTTAATATAACGGGAAGATTATTTTCAAAGTTAAAATGTATTTTGATGAAATGTAAACAAGCAATGAATTTTTAAAATGAATAATAAATTTCATCAATTAATAAATTACTTACATTAATTAATAAGTAATTTAGCTTGTATATTATAAATTTTATGTTATTATATAATTGTATCGTAATATTAATATTATCTTAATTCTTTTAGTAGATGTTTCATACCTCAGTTCTGTTGCTAAAAGATCATAGACTCGAAGAACGAATAATTGAGTAAATTATCGTCCGATGACTACTAATATACGTCCTTCGATAGAATTCGACGTCCTCACGAACCTCGCGAGTCATCAAGAATTATAGATGCGTACGAGTCCCATTGTGTTCGATCCACGAAGGCCTCTTTGATTTTCCAATATCGTTCTGTGTCCGTTGCACACACTCGTTTTCCTTGACATACCTCGAAGACGAACCTACGCGCTTCATAGCTGAACGACCCACGTTCGAGACCACGTCGTCTCGTTGCAAGCGTTGAAAAATATTTGTCACAGTTGAAGAGCCGATACTTCAAGACGTTTCCGTTTAATCGAAGATGGCTATTAAGAAGGATGCATCTCCTTCGTTAGAGGAGAAAGCTGCAGGAAAGTGAAAGTGTCGGACGCTGGATCGAGCATCGGGCATTTTGAGAATTTTCTGGCTCGTGGACGTGGTTATGCAGATGGATAGGTCGGTTGAAAAATTCATGGGAAAGTTTCCTCTTCGTTCTTACGCTTGCGTTTTATTTTTATAATTTATGTACACTAGCAAAAATGTACGTATAAAGATTACTGGGGAAAAGTTACAATACAACACGTATTTTTGTTAATTTTTTGATTGTGATATCATATCACAAGTAATTCGTAAAAAAAGAAATGGAAAAATGTATTCATGCCTCAGAAATATAATTACATGAATTGTATGAATTTTCATTTAATGCTAATACGTTTCTGATCTTTTATTCTGATATCATGTTATAAGTAACTAAAAAATGAAAAAAACTATTAAAAAGATTATAGATAACTCTTTATAAGATATAAGAAATATTAAGTTCAAAGATATTATAATTGACGAACGACGCTAAAAATTCTTGATTATTCAATTTATATTAAAAATGTATGAAAAATATATAAAATATACATACAGATAGACACAGAAATATACAGATAGAAACTTCGAAATACAATAGAGTACGTAAGCTTTCATTCGTATATTTTACAAAAAAATCGTGTATAAGTTATATTTAATATAAATCTCTAGAAGTATACTGCATCTATAAAATTTCTAAAAGTTATAAAAAATTTCTAAAACGTTGTAAACTGGTGAATTTCGGTCAAAATTTGTGTTAACAGTTAACTGTCAAATGTCGTTTTGTTAATACAATTCTCACAACGACAAGAAATCGCCATAACTAACTTCTGCATCCTCGTTGATGATGACCGGAAACTCGGTATAATTATTCGGTTTTTTACACGATCGTCGGCTCATCGAGAGAGACCGTGGTCAGAACGGTCGACAAAAAGTGGCTCACTTTCGTTGCCATTCAAACGCGATCTTACCATCACCATAAAAGGAACGACGTTCCGCGAAAGTGTGTTTATTAGGAAAGAGGTTAGGATAATTAAGGGATAAGCGTGCGTAATTGGCTGGACTTTCTTTCCACGCTTGTTCTATCTCGGACAGAACTGTTTTACTTCTGAATCGATGCACGCGCTGCATTTCTGCTCTTTATTTTATCATTGCTCTTCGCTTTGTTGCGTATGTGGCGCGTGTGTGCCATTAATTGGACAGGATAACGATCGTGGGAAATGGAAGATCGGTTTCACTCGCATGTCAGTATCTTATGTCATGTTTTGTAGAAGTGGTTAAACACATGGTGGAAATACACGCGACTGAAAGAGATTGAATTCATTTGAGCAGATCACGATTCGATGTGAGAAAGATCGAGCGTTTTATGAAATTTCTACTGCGTAGACAAGTTATTGATGGAGTAATTTCGCATGCAAAAATGAGTGAAAAAGGAAGGAATAAATTTTTTTCATTTAAGGGTTCACAATGAAGGCTTCAAATGTGATTTTTCTTCTCCATTCTATTAATTTTTGAATATTAGAGTTACGCGATGAAATGGTAGAATTTTTTGAATTTGAAGAAGTCATTGTAAAGAAGAGACTTTAATCTTCAAGATCATGCTAGATCTAGTCATGAAAATAATTTGTTTATTGCTTTTGAAAACGTTTGAAATCTAAATAAATATTTAGATTGATGTTTCATCTAATAAGTATCACAAGTACCTTGGGTATTTTATGTAACAATAAACTCTGTCATTATTTCAATCTCTCTGAAATTCAATATAAATTTAATTAAAATGCCTTTATATTATCTATATTTATTTATGTCAGTAATCGCACAATTTTTGAAAAAATAAACATTTGAAATCCAGTAGATTGATGAATTAATAACTCGAACTTGTTAAAATTGGAGATAACAATTTTCACATGAGACACGATAATTCATTTATTTAATTGGTAGAAATTGACGTTGAGTGGATAATTAAGTGGAAGAGCATTGATCAAAGGGAATGAAAAAAATGTTCGATTGTACGAAACAAAGTTAGAGTATCATTAATCAATCGTTTCAGGAAACAGTACGGTAATCGACGCTGGTCTTTCTTGCATTCCTGAAGTGAAAACGGAGAGGCGAATCGATCTCGACCCGAAATTCGAATCTCATCCGGTTATTTTTCAACTTAGACGCGTTTAATTAACGAAAGTGTAATATTTGTAATTCGTGAGAATTTGTTTCTCCATTAAACGGTCGATAAAAATAATCTTTCTTTGAATTATGAATACTAAAAAAAAAAAAAAAACAATGCAAGTGATTTGAAGATAAAAACAAAAGAGGCAGCTTCGTAATTTTTCTTTGGAATATTGGGGAGATGTGCGTGAAAGCTCGTTGCACTTGCCGATAACCCGTATCTTGTCGCGAGGACATAAATTCCTGACTTGAACTGGCATAGAATACCGTCGACCCACTTATACACTGTGACTACTTTCACTTGTGCCGAGCAGAAGCGCACTGACACAAACAATTCCCAAATAATCCTTTCATCCGCTCGCGGTGCCCTTGTTCGGTCAAGCTTTAGTCACTTTCATCGACGCAGAGAAACGTGTTATAGCTAGTGATATAGCACCATTCAGATATTAAATTAATTCATTATATTGAACTAATTCAATATTAAATTAAATTAAATTAAAATTAAAATTAAGATTAAATTTAATTATTTAATGTTGAATTAATTCATTATATTCCACTAATTCACATATTAAGCTAATTCATTTATATAAACTTTGGTTACCCGATTTTTAGCTCTGTTATTTGTTTTTTGTTTTGAAAAATATATAAATATAAAATATATAAAAATTTTGTTTATATGGAATATATCGATATATTTATTTCGACTATGTTACTTATATTTATTACACTTACAATTTGTAAATAGTATATTGTGAAATGGACTTGTCTGCCATTATATAGTGTAGCCAAAAAATATATAGAAATTAATATGTAACCAAATATTAAACTAACTAATGAAATATAAATACAATTTCGGCTAGTAGTTGTATGAAAGACAAAATTATCACAGCCTAGATAGATGGAAAAACATTTATTGCAAAATTAATATCTTTTCCTAATTACACCTTTTTACAATACAATTATAAAAGTCGAAATTGAAATTCTGATAACCTCGAGGTTATGATTATTGTACTTTCTAATTGCAAAAATGAACGTATAAGATACTGGAATTGTAGCAATAATTACTTGGCAGCTACTTTCTGCTGAATTTCTACGAGTTTAGAGAAAGTTGAACATTAGTTGGTTCCAATTTTTCGTTGTGAAAATTGTTCACATCCGTGAGTATAATGAACTGAACCACTGTTTTCGTCGTCCGGTGCCATTTTTTTAAAATTAAAACGCGTTCAGTGTTACGAAAAAATTTTATGTATGGAACACGCACTGTACCAGAAGCTAAACCTTCTATTATTCAGATACATGTTGTGGATATATATTGGAGGTTCTGTAATTTAATTAAAATACTATGCTACCATAAGAGCGCAGTGAAAACTCGTTTTTGATTTTTTTATGACATATCTGTTTATGTTATTTAAAATTTTTTAAAATGTGATATTCATATTGTTCTAATCGCTTTAAAATACTCCAATAGTGAATTAGCAAAGAATGTTAGTACAATCCCTTTTCTTCACCGCCTCGAAAACTTCGTGAAGACCGCTTTCTTTCGCCATAGTCGTCGATGTTCTGACAATAAAACAGCAAGAGATTCATTAGAAAACAAAGGTTTCATTGAGATTTCGTAAGTTTGAAATTTCTTTAAGTGGAATAGAGGAGAAACGTTCTCTCTTCACATTTTAGAAATCGAGGAAAAGTTTGCAACAGTACTCTTTAGAAATAAAATTGTTCTCTCTCTCTCTCTCTCTCTCTCTCTCTTTCTCTTTTTCTCTTTATTCGAAATCGAGAGAGACGAGGATTGCCACCGCGCGAATAATTCACTCGTATTTTAAGTATTGCCTTCGATGTTCCACTTCTGTAATTACGTAGACGCTGTCATCCGGCTGTTAAAAATATACTGATGAATGCCTCAGAGTTAAACGAGCAACGTTTTCGAGAACTAATGGAGCGATTTTTAACCCGTTAAGTGTGAATGTTATGCTTGCTGTCACCTATCACTGTTCCTGTTTCCAAAAATTCTCCACAGGTCTCATAATTATTGAATCATTGAACTGAAGAAAAGTTCAAGTTAGCCATTTTTAAAAAATGTCAATACTAAAATGTAAATGTATAGTGTAACAAAGAACAGTATTAAAAAAGTGTTTTCTATATTGAGAGAATTCCTTCAGTTCAATGAATCTGAAAACAGTATCATTACATTCTTAATAAAACGTTTTATCGAGAAATTTTTGTTCTTGGAAGATTACTATTGAACAACAAAACTATCATGTTGAATTTGTTTCAACATAACTAGTTTTTCTAGTCTTCCATTCATAAGACTCTCGCGTCAGTTAAAATTATATATTGTATTGCATCGCACAAACTGTACGAATATACAAAATTAGAATTCTCAAATATTTTGAAATTTATAATTCTTTCATTCTAAAGAGTTACATCTAAATATAGAATAAATTTTGAAGCTTCGATTTTGTTTTAAATTTTGAATCTACTATTTATACGTTATAATATATTATAATTATAGTTAATTATTATATTATAAATTATTACATAATTTTATGCATAGGCATAGTTACATATTATATAGTTAAATTTGCTCTTGAAACACTGTCGTTCAACAAGACTATCATTCTACATTCATTTCAATATAATTTATTTGCCTAATTTCCCATTCAGCCAAAATTATACACATACACGTATATAAAAATTACATATTAAATCATAATATATTATAGAAATAATGAAAATATACAAAGCTATTCAATTTCTTTCCTAAAATCTTGTTCCTAATTTTTCAAACAATTTAACAATTTACAATTACCTTGTCGCCAGATTCCACAAGATGTTCTGCAACACGGTGGCTCCAACGTCACCGCCAGCCAAGATCATGCCACAGATGGATTTTTCCTCGCAGTCACTCAAGGGATCGTTGAATCGCGCCTGTTTATGTTCCACCGGCAGGTCAGCGACCCTCCATTTGGACAAAACGATGTTAGGCTGGCTAAAGGGATTCGGTTCGTCATTAGAATTCGAGTCGACGCGTTTTTCTGGACCGGAAAAAAAAAAAGAGAAAACGAAAGTGCACCACTCACGTAGTGTTGTCGACCTTTACGACGTTTGGAGTCAGAGCAGCTATGAGCAGACCAAGGGGCAAAATGGCGCCGATCAGATGAAAGATCTTCTTCCACGGAGATACTCTGCGATTAGATAAAAGTGGACAACGTTTCAATATATTACGATTTATTTATAAGAATTTTAAGGAAAGTTATTAAGAATTTATAAGAATTTTAATTTAAGAACTTTAAGAAAAGTTAGGAGAAAAGGAGAGAAAATTAACAAATATAACTTGTTACAATCACTATCATTGAAATTAAAATCGTAGAGCAAGGAAGTTAGAATTAAAAAGCAAAGAAATAATTGGATCATTGAATCGAAAAAAAAAACTTCACCTTTTCTTGAGCATAGACGAACGTTTGTCGTCAAGAAACTCAGCCTGATTGTATCCACTGTATGATTGATAAGGATAAGGATATTTTCTAGTTCTCATGAACGACGATTCCTGAACAAGAACCACGCCATCATTCGGTTTCTTCGATAAATCAAAATCCTGCAAACTCGACTGTTGGTCCTGATGATCATAAACTATTGGAAAATATGGCTTCTTCAAAGAATTAACGTTCAATTCCGGTCTCTGAGGTTCACTCTGAAATTTAGACGGTTTCCCCCAAATGATGGACGTTTCTTGCTCGAAAACGGGTTTCTCTAAATTTGGATGGATCTGTTGATCCATTAAGTCGTACTGCGTCCCCGAATTGTCAACAAGCGAATTGGAAACCTGTTGATGAAAACCTGTTTGGTCCTTCGAAGAGCTGTACGGAACTCTAGAAGCGTCCAACGCATCATCTTGAAATTTAACGTAACCATTCTCTGCTCCATCTTTTTTACTCTCCTCAGTTGATCCAACAGCAGTTTCGTATAAATTCTGGTGAATGTTTTCTTGATTAGCTGGCCGAGGAGTTTGAAGAGTTTGAACAGTCTTGACTGCGGGTTGGAAAATTACTTGGAAATCTTTTACGTGTTCGTGATATGAACCAGGATTTACTGCGTTGTCGAAGTTGAAATGGCGAAGAGCGTTGAAGGGGCTGGTACTGACTCTGGATTCTTTAATTTCGCCTAGAAAAATGTGGCATTTATGAATTTCAACAGGTATAAATATTTATGTGAATCCTCATTTTCAATAATAAAATTGGAGTTAATTGGATAGATAATTACTTTATCTATTAAATGTTGAGATGAATACCTGTTGCATTTTGGATATTTTATACAGATCAATTAAATAGGATCATCTAAATATGAGATTTTTAATAATGAAACTGAAGTTAATTTGGTAGATAATATTTTAATAATTACCAAATAATTAAATATTGAAAAGAGCACTTTGGATATTATATAAAGAGTGCATCAATTAAATGAGATCATCTAAAGTGTTGTATGATTTTTTAAAAAGATCCGAAGGTCATTGGGATTTTTAAAAATGAAACTCTATATTTTATCTCATTTAATTAATCCGCCAATAAATGCATAAAAATCCATAATTTAATGATTTATTGTGTATTGGATCGTGTTTGCTACTTTAACAATTTAAGTAACGCAAGTAATCTCAAAGAACTCGGATCCTATTATATTTCTTTAACGTTAAAAATATTATTTAAAAGCATCACATAGAAGATTGTCATTGGGTTATTTTTCATTTGATTTTGTAAAATATTAAAAGCCTTTTCGTTCATTAACCATCTATAACTAGAATTTCGTTTAATTTGTAATAGAAAAAGGAGATTAGTAGTATAGATTAATATAGAATTGATATTAATCATTTGGTATTTTTATAACGATGCATCGAAATCGAACAGTGAAGCAACATATAAAATAAAATTTCCAAAATGTAACTTTCAAATTACACAATGTTATAGAAGAGAAATAATAAATAAAACAGAAATAATGATCGAAGATCAAGGACTTCTCACATTTTCCTCACGTGCAACCAGACGTCTCAATCTACGTATTCATTGCCCATATGAAAACCTCACTTGCTATCGATAAACAGTTCACTAACATTTCGCACAAATCAAATGCAACTACTCAAGAACATCTCCTCTGCATTTGCTCGAAATTGAGATACTACACCTAAATGTACACTTGGTCTGAATTCTCTGGAGATATTTTTCTTGGCATTGATAGACTTCAGCTTATGGTAGGTCTCTACGGTAGTCGTAGACTCCGTAGTCGTTGTCGATTCTAACGAAAATTGATCCTCGGTAGATGATTCTTCGATAAACTCTTCAACTGGTTTCACATCGTCGTTTGGAGACACGTTCTTCGGCTTTGTCAGATCTTGAGTGTGGATCGAGTTTAATCTCGTAAACAGTAACGAGATGAAGAGGACGAGTTTTATCGTAGAATTTTGTTTGTTCATATTGGAATACGGTATTTCGTGAAACGAAAGACGCGATGGATGTTGAAGACGTTTCTATCTATGATGTACTTGTTGCACTAAGCAGGATCTTTAAGAATTCAGCGTCTTTAACTCGCGAGAAACTAGATTCAAAATGTTCTCTAAAAAGCGTGAAGGTGAAATTTGTCCTTTATTCGTTAGGCTTACTCCAATTGCCGTTGACAGTGCTCGTTTAGTTCCAGCTGAAGCGGAGGGGACGCTACAGAAAGATTTCGAGAACGTATTTCTTGCAACGTCCGTCGTTAATTACTCTGATCAATTTATTTCAGTAGCAAATAGAAATGTAGTAATTTTTATCTCTTTATGAAAGACGAAACAATAACTTCTACGTCATATAATAATTACAATAATTAATATAATTATATATATATATATTATTATTATTATTATTATTATTATTATTATTACTCTAATATATATTATATTGTATTGTATTATATATTATATTTTTGTTAGTTCTCAATGGGCGAAATCAACATAATCGTGATATTAAGTCAATGTAATTAGGACAATCGAGTCTCATAAATGAATTATTCAAACTATAAAATAATGCTTGAATATGTAAGGGAATTCAATCACTGATTCAGTTGTTATAAGTAAATAGTTAAAATTATTAAATAATATACAAAAATATCATTATTTTGTAGTTTGAATAATTCATTTAAAACAATTAAATTATTTTATTTTTACAACATTTCTAAACATTATTTAATAGTTCTCACAACTTTTATATTACGATTAAATAATTAAATTAATTATTTCATTCAATAATTCAAAGTCGTTTCTCTTAAGTATATTGTTCAAGATTGTTACAAATTATTAATTAAAAATTTTAAATAGGACTTAGAAACATTACAGAAGAGAATTAATTATTCCGTTGTTACAAATAAATTATTAGAAATGTTAGGTAATATTTCAACAATTAGAATATTATTTAAAAATTTACTTTGATGATGAAAGTTTGATCGATGTGTACACGATAAAAGTTTAACTTATAATGACTTTTTTCCCTGCTTCAGATAAAGTGATGCACAACAGGTGACAGTATTATCAATAGTCTATTTCAATACTTCCAAAAACGGTTTTTCTATTACAATAATCATTAATTTTACCATTTATTTGAAGCAACAATAAATGCTACAGTAATTTCTATACTTTTTACAAAGTTAAGCTACATTTGTATGATTAGTTTTTAATTTATAATTCTGTATATACTTTATAATTCTAAATATATTAAACAACATAATATAGTAATTTATAAGTCTGTATATAATATTAACTTATGTAGAAAATAATTATATTACAATCAAAAAATTAAATTGATCGTCTCTTAAGAATAATTATGCAAGTAAAAAAAGCGTTCACGTTTAATTCAATCAATAATTTTCAGTGCGTAGATGTAATAACATTATTCATATTTTCTGATTTTAATTCCTTTATTATTAGTAACGCCGTAATGCAAAATTTGCCTAAATGGTAGTTACGATATGGTAGAATGTGGCACGAAAATGTTAGTCAAGTGATCCTCAAAATCTTTTCGTAGGACACGAAAAAACATTGGATATCGGATTTATCCTAGTTAATCAATGCTCGTATTCATTATCAGCACGTTAACATCTCGGCGAGGTCGGAACGAAAGTCGCGGGAAAAATAAGGAAGAAAGGATGACCGCGAAAGGGGATAGCCTAGATGTCAGGACGATATTCATGCATCGACAACCAGTTTCCATGGAAAGTACACTTCGGAATAATGAAACGTTTTTACTGTCGCATGTTAACGCGAGAAGTCACGAAACGCTGGTAGTACAGCCCCCCTCGTAACCGAGTTATTTTATATCGGATTTCTCGCGATGGATTCTGGGACACTTTTCACGCTGGCCGCTTGTAAAACGTGCATTAACAGAAGAAATAATCGCTTAACGCATTTTTCATGTACACTTTTCCCTGGTTTCTCTGTCTCTCAGTTTGTCAAGTCGTGGAAATTGCAACGACTAATATTTCAATACTTTAATAATCAACGAGAGAGAAGTTTTCGGATGATACAATCAACGTTGATCATACGCTAAGGACAAAAATATAATTCTCAAATATTTTAATTTATTATTCTGTCGCGTATATTTTAAACTTTCAACTTTATTTTAAGTTAACTAGCTATTAATTAAAATTATATTATATTAGATATATTATAGTTAATTATTACGTAAATATTTTACATAGTTTAATTATATATTATTGATATTATATGATATTTTAATTTGATAACAATTCAAGGTAATTAAATTTCGAAATCTACAAGTCCTTCAAATCCTGATTTCGATTCTTCACGTTATGCCTATTACAACATTAAAACAATAGAATTCTCAAAAATATAACAAATCCCCTAATTCTTCTATCAAACTATCTATCCATAAATACAATTCCCCTCGAAAAGATCCTTAAATCAATTTTAATCGATCCGACAATTTTTTAAGCATGAAACAATTCATAATTTCCACGATAAGGCGAGAAAGCTCAAAAGAAACAAGTGTCGTAACTATAAACAGGAGATCGATCGGCGAAGCAGTTAGATCGCGAAGGAAGAAACGATCCAGTCGGTTAAATTTCTACGGTCGAGGCGTAAAAGAGGAAAGAAAAATGTTTTATTACGCGGCTGTTCACGGAATGTGAGCGAAGAGCGGAAAGGGGTGAAAAGACTTTCTAAGGCGAGTTTTATCAGCGAGCGGCGAGAGTCTGGCCTTGTTTCAAACAGAGGTCAAGTCGTGCCGAGGAACTGGTCGAAGCAGATGCTAGACGAAAGATAAACTCGTACAGTATCACGTTCGAGTTCTTCTTCTTCGTCCGAATAGTCATCACCATCCGTCGACTTTTTATTAACATTTAGCCAAAAGTTTCGGAATATTTTTGCTTTTAACATTCAGTACTCGTCATAAATGATACAATCTTTTAATTAATGCACGAGTGTTAATATATTAACATTCTCGTACAAAGTGTCATTTAATTTTCCCAATTTCAAAACGAATAATCTTTCTCACAATCCGTCTGGAATATGCTGATTCGTTGAAGACGCGCGGAGCACGCTAGTCACAAGTCTGTGACTACACAGGATATTCCCCTTCCGTGTAGATCGGCCGACAACGAAAGTAGACGTTCCCTGCGCTTGACAGCCGCAGTCTGTTCTGTTCTTTTTTGATCCGCGTCCTGATGCTCGTTTTCGCGGTTATCTACGCCGGAGAACGACCCAATTCCGGTTTCGAGTAGGCCAGCCAACCACACCGGTGTCAGACCGGAATCGGAAGCGAAAAATTCTGGCCCGTTGCATGTCTCTCGGAAGTCTAATACTCGATAAATCATCGTCTTTAGGACAACACAATACGTATCAGTTTCTATAAGAATTGGAATTATTATTATTATTATTCTTGAAGAGACTATAATATCGGAAATATCTCTCTAACATTAAATAAAAAATATATATAATTATAAAAAAAAGCTCCATTTACATTTCATTCGTTCTATAAAATATTCTAAAATTCGCATCAATGCCAAGCTAACTCTAAATCGGAGTAAATATTTTTTCTACTTTTATTACGAAATATAAGTATCTGATAGATGAAAAAGACGTTGGATAAAAGATATCGGAAACGATTCCTGCATTGAATTACTGAAAGAGAGAAAAACTTAACAAGAGGTTTATGGGTCGAGGATGCAAAAATGTGAAAATCCGAGCCCGAGTGATTCGGAAGCTGCTCGTAAAATGGAAACGTAATTCGAGGCGTTTCACTCGCAAAACAAGGCGGAAGGATTTTATAGTGTGACAGGATATAAAAAAAGGGAAAAAACTCGCGGGGTTTCTGTGTCGAGAAAGCGCAAAAATCACGAAACGATCGACTCCCTCTGTTTATAAAACAGTTGAAGAAATCATGATGATTTATCAAGCACGAACATCATCACGCTTCTCTGTTTCTTTTTCTGTGTGTCCTTAATCGATGAATAAATTCAGTATGGCAAGACGGCTAACAATAGAGGGTCCTGTATTGAAATTTTTAATGTTTGAAATCTTCAATGTCAATTGTAATAGACAAACGAAAGTTTAAAATCACACTGTCCAAAAGTTTGGACAAAACCATCTCTTCCTTCAGCGATATTTTATAATTTTATAAACTTTTGTGACTTTAGTAATTAAAACTATAAGGTTATGTTATTAGAGATACAGATCATTTATTATTATGTCTGTTTTTCTTCTTTTATTATGAAATTGATAAGTATTCCGAATTTTTGGATGATAATGCATGTATGTATAAGAACCAACAAAATTTGTATTAAAAGGACATGTTAATAATATTTTAAAATTGATAATTTCAATTACATGTTTAATACAGAAACAATGTTTTAAACGAACGAAGAAAAGTAATTTAACCGAACAAGTGTCTCTTATCGATGAAATATCAAGGCATTTAAATTATAAATATCGCAAGTATATATTCGTAAATTAGATTTTTTATTCGCTTATCCTCCTTCGATATCATTAATAATTGTACCTGAGAAAAAGTTCAATAACAAGTGTCAGTGTCAAGGAACCGGTTTGAGAGATCTCCGATCAATAATACATATTTACATGGCAAGATATCTATGAATCGACAGGAATTGTCCATTGAGGTGTCGGAAAAGTAGAGAACGCGGCTAGCGTGAACGCGGCTGACATTCCGAATCATAACCAGAAAAACCACCGTGCAAAGCAGCCGTTGATTGTCCACGCTGGCAACAATTAGTGCGTGACAAACCCTGGCTTCTTCGCGATTCCATCTACACCTTTGTAAGTCTGTCGACAAGATTCGAGGAGGCTGAATACTTGTACGGTGCTATTTTTTAACATCCTTGAAAATTTAGTTGAAGTCCAATCCAAGATATGTGTATATTAAAATGTCTGTTAGAAAGATCTACGAATCTAGAGAGCCTTAATTTTTCTGTGTTTGATCTATCAGATAATTTTATATTCTCAAATTATCGAAAGTAGTTCTCTTTCGTAGCCTCAAGCTACTAGAATATGGTTCTTGATGAGCTAACTTTGAATAAAAATAAGAATTTAAGAAAATTAAATTGAAGAGAATTGAAGTTAAATCTTGACTTGATAGGTGAAACTGGACATCTCGAGATCATTATTAAAAGACTGAAAATGAAAATAATTCGCCTTGCTGGATTTCAGGCTCGTCTAAAAGACGAAACTCAGCACGAGATCGAGATCTGTGTCAGTTACTGCTCGCCGAATCCTCGCGTACGTCTCAGCTGACAATTATCAGCGGACAGTGGAACAAAGATAGGAGGTGAGGAGAAAAATAGTAGACGCGGGCGCCGCGTCCGTTCTCCAAGTGGCCAAGCGCACGAGGCATAGACAGGCTTGTTGCAGCACGTGGTTGCACGAGTGAGATGCAAAATGGACCAGGTCCCCAGGAAGTGGGGACCTGGATTAAAAGCAAACGAGGACAACGTCTCCGTGACAGAACTATCTCGGACCTTCAAGAGTGGAGGTCGACGCGCGGTTCAGCTTGGTTGGTTCACGTTGGTTACTCAGTGGTTTCCTAACGGGTTCCTGGTTTCCCTTCGATCCTACGGTCGTTTGTTGGCTACAAAGTCGAAAGTCGCCACCAGGACTGGAAGATTTGGAAGACCTACGAAGACGGTTAGTGACGCGATGTGTTTCTATTTTTGGTTATTGTTTTTGGCTTGGTTTTTTTCAGTCGTTGTTGGTTTCATTTTTCTGTAACAAATTTTTTTTTTTTGGAAGGAGAGAGGTGATTGAGACTTTTGCTGGATTGTAAACAAAAATGGAACTTATTTGGGAAAATGAATTTTTTTTTATTATTTCCACAATATTTCCAAATATAATTATATTAATATGTTTCAATACTCTACACAATAAAAAGTTAATTTACATTGACATTGCTTCGAAACATAATATCCAATTATGTTCTACAAATTTGTTTTATCCTTGCTTATAAAACATTAATAAAATATGAATGGAGTATAAAAAATTAATGTAAATAGAATACAAATTAAAAAATATAATAAATTACTATAAATTCATTTTTCTACAATAATTATTTAATCAACTCCTTTACCTTTTCTTGCTCAAAATACTTTTCTTTCAATGAAAGGAAAAATACTAATAATAAAAAGAAGAACCATTTGTCTTTCCTTCGCTCACCAAAATCAGACTAGCACCCCCGTAATAGTAAAAATGTCGTGGAAGCATTTGTTTTACAAATGCTTCTCTTACTCTTTGCAGATGGCGGCGAAAGGAGCGATTTGCCTGCTCCTGCTGGCATTGACCTTGAGAGGCTCGCAGTGCAGCACAAGATACTTCGCAAAGGCAAAGGCAGACACGTCCGAGCTGTTCAAGACGAAGGGGGAAAGCTTTAGGGTACTCGACGAACCAATCGCGGCTACACCAAGTCCATTACATCGTGAAGCAAAGTTTGCCTTTCAGAACAATAACCAAAGGATGATCAAGGACTTCCCGAGAAGCGAGGACGATTCGAAGAACGGGTTCGAAACGTCCACGTTCAATCCAGACGTGCTGAACAAGTTTCTGGAGGAATATGCGAATAAGATTAAGAGCAGCACGGAAAAGTATCAAAGATATCCGTTCAGGATCATCAAGCCTACAGAAGCTCTAGCTCTTGAGGTGGAAGATCAGACTAGCACTCAGTCGACTAGTGTTAATTATGATGAGAATACCAAATACGAAGAGGATACGATTAATTCTACGTCCACTGAAGATGGGGTAAGAATTTACTAAATACGAACGAGTTTTTCGGAATTTTTAGAATTTTAAGATCGTAATTTTATAAAATTTAACTTGAGAATATTTTAATTTAATGCAAGTAATGTATTTGATTATTAAATTGCATATATTATATTAAAAGCATATAGATAATTTAATTTAATTTAGTATTGATATAGTTTACGTCAAAGTATATGTATATCGATGTAACAATTTTTTGAATTGGACAACGACTTAAGAATTAGTTAAAATTAAATCAACGATAAAAACGTTACGTGTTATATTTTTATTATAATGCTACATCTGTCTACAACTATAATTTTATTCGACTAGAAGAAAAGAAAGCCCTAACTGATTGCTGATTTTTTTAAATCAATTATTTCATAATTGATCATTTCAGTTAAGTTCAACATTAAACGACACTCTGAAGAGAAATAAATATTATGGGGCAAATTCGTACGAAGATAGAAACGGCTGGGTTACTTTGGAGGCAATACCATGGTCTAAGAGCAAAATTTCTAAATGGCAAGCGACTCCAAATACCCAACGTCCATGGCTGGAAATGAAACCATGGGACAAACCGAGCATTGGAAAACCTTGGGCCGCAGATTACTCTGTCAGACCAATCTACGAGAACAATAAGCCATGGTAAATTCGCATACAATTTTACACTTAAGTGGTTCACTTTCTATTTTCTACATTGCGGTTCTAATTGAAACTAAAGCCAAGCTTCCAAAGCGAAGAACTAAGCTTTAAATTGAACTAAAACACAAAATATTTATATTATAATATCATAAATTATCGTTGTACTATAATAAATATTTTAATATCTTAGTATATTTAGTATTATATATTATTTTAAGTATTGTATCAGAAATTTAAAATGGATATCTAAATGAATATTTAAAAAAATATTTCATAAATGAATATCTTAAAGATCTTAAAATAATTGATGTCCCTATTCTAGGTATATGGATAAACCAAAACCAACCTGGCCAGAGAACACAAACGAGAAACCATGGCAGAAGCCCACAGTTCGTCCTGCTTACTACACAGAAAAACCTGAAGAGACTCAGGCTCAAAAGTGGCCTCCGGAAAGACCATCTTGGAACAAATACTCAGATCGTCCCAACAGCGACATAATCACCGACAATCGTCCAGCCAATTTCCCAAATACCTGGAACAGACCTCAACCAACAAAACCAAGTTATCAGTATTCAGATAGATACACCGATAAAAATCAAGCAGAAGAGAACAACGACTGGCACAATTTCCCGACGAGATTCGACGATCGTCTACGACCTTCTACAGAGAGACCAGGATTTTCTCAGTATCAGTACGTGGACAATCATCCACAAAGTTATCCTGGAAACGGCGATGGCCAATGGGTACTACTGTCCACGAATAGAGGCTACTCCAAGACCAGGCAAAGGTCGATGAAGATAGATACGATAGGTCAAGTAGAAAACGTGACTAAGAGCGTGGGTAGGAAAGAGGAACCTGATCCAGCAATCGCCGTGATGACATCGAAAAGACAGGTTAGGCTAGATGATCAAAGAAGTTTTTAAATATAGACGAAAGATTTTTTTTCAAATATAGACGTAATTTTGAGGTTTCTTTCTTTTTTTGGAATAAGAAATGTATTTTGGGAGAAATATAGTCTGTTAACTAGATTCTTGATCTCTTGGAAATAATAATTAGTTATTTAGACTAAGGATCTATGGATCTGAAAGAATCAGACAAAAATTAATCTTTACTAAATTTTAAATCTTAATTCTGGGTAGTAGATTCATATTTATTAAGAATAAAATTCCTTTTATTCTTTGAATGTTTCTAACAACTTTTTTAACGTGTTAAGATCAACAAAAATAAATCCATACATCATTTATATGCAGAGTGTCTTCGATTCTTCAAATACATTCTACAAATTGGCAAACGCTTGATGAAATATCGTTTACCTAGGTCAGGTTGACGGTGTTACCGTCGATCAACGGCACAAACACGACAACATCACACGGAGGTCTTCTGGAAGTGGAGAAAACCTTCAAGAGCGTAGACCAGAGCCGAAAGGAATACGAAATGGAGAAACAAACGTTACCAACAATTCTGAAGAAAAGACCCATCAGGAATACGTTAGGAAACCAAGCATCTAGCTCTGCTGTCTTAGCTGCTGTCGGTGCTGGTAAGTTTAAGTGTGATTTATTACTAGTTGATTTAAATATTTTTAGAAAGTTTGTCAGAGTAGAAAATAGAAATTAGTTAGTCATAGAAAATAAAGAAATTATTCATAAAAATTTGATTTGTAGAAATTATAGTAGTATAGTAAAAGTGGTAATATCTGCGAAATTTGAATTGATTGTTTAATATAACAATCAATGAAAAGATATTTAAGATTATGAGTTATTATCAGAAATGTTCTATCAAAATTATATCATGTCGCTGCAAATATTTCTGAACTCAAGATTTAATGCTTATAGAATTAACAAGAATTGGTCATTTGCAAATTAAATAATCGAATATCGTATATTTTAAAATTTATTTATGTTTAGTTAATTCTATGAACTGATTATTCAAAATAATAAATGGACCAGAATTCTTTACAAAATCAGAAAGAATCTTAAAGAAAATGCTTAAATTCTTGATTAAGAATTTAAAGTTTTTAAAATTTAAGCAAGAAAAACTTGGCAATTTACAGATTTAAAATCCAAGTTCAAAAATTATTATAAATTAAATGTCAATGAATAACGAGATGAATCCAGTAAATATCTAGCAACAAGAAAATTGAAAACTAAGATTGAAAATTAACATTTAAGGAAATTAATTTCGTTGGAGTAAATTTGCTCCTCTAGGGATATTACCGGCAACAATGGCGATGATGATACCAATGTTTCTCGGCCGTCGAAAGAGGGACTTGATGACTTCCGGATTGAGACTCCTCGATCAAGATGGCTCAGTGACGAGTATTCGTGATCTCAATCCCACGAGCCAGCGCCGAGTCCGTGAAACAAGACTACGATAGAGAAACTAATCTAGGGAAATGAAGTCTCTAATAATTCGTGGGAATAGAGAAAACAATAACGGGTGCAAATTAAAGAATTTAGAAAGAGAAAGAATTTAGAGAAAGACAAAGAAAAATAGGATGAACTTCTGGTAGAAAATATAAGGAATAAAATAAGAAATATAAAAAATAAGGTAAAATAAAATAAAATAAAATATAAGAAATTAAATTAACATGTTAGATTTTAAAAAGGAAGATTGATTTGCATAATTTTAAGCATATATCATTCTATAATTTTCTCATTAAGAAACGAATACGCTCCTGCAGGTGAAAAAATTCTATTTTTATTACAAGTTTCGTTCGTATATCTATACACACACATACACACACGTCAGGATATTATGTAGACACGCATCATATTTATTATTTATTTATTTATATACGTATTTATAACATACTTTACATTTCGTCGTTCGCTTCAATACTTAATAAAAAGCATAAGTATTAACGAAAGATACGATCGAAGATTCGAAAGAATCACTTAGAGAATAAAAAATAATAGAACTTTTCGCTGGAAGTTCTTCGAAACCTCACTCACTTTTCCTGAAGAACGTTTCAAAATGTTTGAGAAGAATTTCCAATGGAAATTATATTCCATATGAAAAATCCCTGATTCCTTGATTTTTATTTTAAAGCTTATCGTTCTCACGTTCAAGCACAACGTTCCTTTTCTTTTTTTGGTCCTAACAGCATGATAAAAATTTTTATGTAGATTAATATAATAAATGAATAAACCAACATTTTCAAGATAATTTGCAAGGGCTGTAACTATAACATGTAATAAGAACTATTTAAAAAATATAGACAGAATAGTTTTTCATCGTCAATTGTGCTAACAGTGGATGAGTTGATTCTACGAACTAAAAATAATCTCGTCGTAGAGAGAAAGAAATATTCGTTTCCAAATAAAAAAATACTTTTTAGAATTCTTGGAATATTAAATTATAATGTAAGATATACAATAATATTCTTATTGTTGATAATATAGAATTCTAAAATGATTCTTTCAATATTCTTAATTACTGTCTGTAACTATAGAATTGTCATTCCTACGTTACTGAATAATTAATATATTGTTAAAAAATAATTATACTCTAAGAATATTAAAAGAATTTTCTTAGAATATAATTGTTCTATATTAACAACTCTAACATTTTTCTTAAATATCATAATCTTCTATGATATAATTCTCCAAAAATGTTAAAACAAGAAATACCAATCTTTTATACGAAAATACAGATTTACATTACAATTTAATTTTTAAATCCTCATTCTTCTCCGATTTTACAACTTTATTACAAAAACTTGAAAAATCCTTCTTTCAAAAACTTATCTTCGTCGCTCAGAAACGAACATTTCTTCCCTCAGAAGAAAAGAAAAAAGAAAAGAAACGACGACGATACTTCAGATTCTACAAAAAAAAAAGTCACCCCAATAGTAGAAAGACTATTTCGATCGAGAAATATCGTTTCAAAATCGTTCCCATCTTCTCAAAACGTTCTCGAAAAACAGGCGTCAAGACACGAAGGATTTCCGTTTTCAAGACGAGGTCCTGGCGTGCTCGAAGAGGTAAGGTACATGCTTAGTGACGGTGTTCGTCACTCGATTCCATACTGTGTTCAGCCATCTCGAATGAGCCTTCTTCACTCCTCTCCGTTAATCCTCTTCTGCACATGGCCGAGATATCTGGCGAAACCTTCGCTCGCGTGTTTCAGGAGCGTTAGACCGAGCCTGAACTTGATCTCGGCAATCCTCTTCACGAAATTGAAGAGATTGAAACCGTTCTGCTCGGCTGGCTTCTTCGTGGTCGCGTCGGTCCATTCGATTGTGCTCTCCGTCGTTTTCGGACTGTTCGTCGTGGTATCTTCAGAACTCACGCTTTCCGTGGAACTTGAAGAAGGAAAAGAAGAAGAAGAAGAAGAGTCAGTAGTCTCTTTCGTTGCTGTGGAAATATCCACGAACGTAGCCGTGCTCGTTTTCAATGTCTGACTCTTGACAGTGGTCTTGTCAGTCTCCTTCAACCGATTCTTCTCATCTTCTTTCTCCTTTCTCCTCTGACTCTCAAAATCTTCCGTCTCCTTGTCCTTCTTCTTCTCCTTAGCGTAATCCTCCTCGGGTATAGCCGAATCGATTATATTAAGAATTTCGTTGCTCAGATCCTCCTCCTTCTCTCCTTCTTCCAATTCTCGTTTCGAAGGTATAATCTGAATCACCGAGTCTCTTCTTCTTCTGGAATGGCGTGCCTTCGTCGAGGGCGCCTCTGTCGGCTCCTGGAGGGAGCGTTTAACTTTCAGAGACCTGGGCCCATGCTCCACAGCAACCGCGGTAGGTGTAATCTCCACTTCCTCGTAAGTTTCATCCGGTCTGGCCGTCTGAACTTGGCCATAGCTCTGAACAGATCCCACAGGAAAATTGAAGCTCTGATTTATGTCGTGATTGAATTGTATCTGACCACTTTCTTCTGTAGGTTCGTAACTGTTGACCAGTTTCCCTGTAGTCGACAATGCAGCAAGATTGTCGGCGTACGGTGGATACTCTTTCGGAACACTTCCGACAACGAACTGCCGATTGGCCGTGCTAGGGAGAACCGATCCAACCACATACTCGCGATGTTTGGGCCTGTCGTAGTAATTCGAAGTGCTGGTGCTCTGCGTGTAACGATAATCCGTGTTCCTGTATTTGTGCACAGACGCTGTGCTCTCTGGTCGATACATCGGAGAGGACGAGGGATATCTTTGATCGCTTTTCTTAATCGGCTGAGTGTCATAGTTTCCATCGTACTGCTGGTATCTGTAATAGTTACTGTCATGGTCTTTCGAACCTCCGGGATATTTGCTCTCATCGGTCGTCATCCCCTGAAGAACTTTAGACAGAACCTCCTCCTCGCTTTGGCCATAGTTCCCGCCGTATTCGTCGAAATTATACTTGTACTTTGGCTCGTCCTCGTAGTTCCTCCTGGTCACAGTTCCTCCAAGTGGGTACAGGAAGTAAGAAGCCAGACCGAGTCCCAGTCCTACCAAGGACATTACCCCGAAACTAGGCATCACTTCTCTGCTCAGAAAATTGTAAATCTGCATGCTGATCGGCGTCGGGGCTGGTTTCTTCTTCGTTTTTGTCCAGTTACTAGCCACTTTGGTCTCCGGCACTATCTTCGACTCCTGTATACCATTTTCAGCAACGGATTCCTCTGCCAAGTCGTTTTCTATCGTGCTGGACGTCGCAGAGGAAATGGTGGTCATTGTTGTAGACGTGGTTGGTTTTCGCCTTCTGTTCTTGTTCTTCTTTCTCTTGGAATTGTTCCTAGGTCTTTTGGTGGTCGAGGTAGATGTGGTCGATGGTATGGTGCTCGATGTCGGGGAAACTTCTGTATTTACATTAATTTTCGTTAGTTCAGGGTTAAAGTCAAATTGCATTAAATCTATCCTCGTATTATCCAGACTCTCCAGTTCCTTCTCAGCCTCTTCCTTGACTTCGTTTTTCTCCACCTTCTCGACTTTCAATGCAGCAGCATTTGCTTTAACAGATTCCACTTCGATTCTGGTCGTTGCTTCGTCCAAAGGCCTCTTCAACTGCACCTTCAGCACGTTGTTCACCTTCGTACCCACTGGTTTCGGCTTCGCAGACACCTCCAAATTATTGCCAATTGTAGTTGGTTTGGGGGTTGTGATAACTTCCAAACTAGTCGTAGACGATACAGAAGACTGCGTAGTGGTCTTCTGAGTGTCCATTATAATAGAAGCTTTGATTTTGGTCACGAACATAGGCTTCTCGGTGCTTTCCACCTTGCTCTTCGGAATGGTAATAATCTGAACAGGTCTGAAAGTAACTTTCTCTATCTTACCAGCGGAAACAGTCTCATTCTTAATGGTATCTGGTTTAACGGTAGTTGTCCTTCTCATAGGTGGCTTAGGTCTGTTCTGATGTTGAGGTCTGGAAGGCTTAGTAACAGAATGTTTCAACAACACAGTGGTCTTCGTGGTAGTTGTCTTAGGCTTTGGTGTCGTTCTAACGATCTGCACCTTTTTCGTAGTGCTTATAACAGTCTCCTTAGTCTCCGAGTTGTTCACAGTGATGTGAGGGGCCTTCAAAGTGGTACTCTGAATAGACTCTGAATAGACATTCTCTGTGCTTTGTATCTTTTCTGGTTTTGATTCAATTGTCTTTTTCGTGGTTGAGACGGGTTTCTTCGTGGTAGAAGGTTCGTCCGTGATCAACGTCGTCGAAACAGGCACAGTAACCTTCTCAGCCACTCGTTCGGTCGTATCTATTCTCTCCATCAAAGTCGTTGGCTTCGCATCGGTCACTTTTACGTCCATTTCCATCGGTTGTTTCGTCTTCTTTTCTATCTCCATCGTCTTCAACGTAGTGGACGGTGGATTCAAAAGGATCCACGTAGAGATTCCACCGGTAGTCGTTGGGTGATTCTTGTACGCAGTCATCAGACGCGTCGAGCTTAGTTCTCTTTCGAGTTCCTCCTCGGTGATAGCCATCGCTTGACCCGGATGACTCGTCTCGAAGTAGCTGAACTTGGAATTAATCGGCCTGCCAAATCCGACATTGACAGGCGGAGCGTTATTCACGTTGATCTCTTTGATTGGAACAGCCTCGTTCCTTTCGACTGGTTTCTGACTCGCGGTAGACTTCTTGATCACGTTATCGAGGATTTTTGGCGGGTCTTCCGGGTTGGTCACGTTTAGTAGTTGAGTGGCCACTGTTCTTAGAGACTGGTCTATGTGCTGCAAGTCCTTCAGGTGGCGCTGTGTGTCGTTTGTATTAATACTGAAAGAAAATTCGAAGATTGTATGAATATGATTTTTAATAAATTAGAGTTGTGATAAATTAAAGTAGTAATTGTCTGAATCTTTGTTATTTGAATATTTTAATAATAAAACATTATATTGTCAGAGTGGAATGTCTACTAGTAACTGAAAAGTCATACTTATTTATCTTTCATTACTAGAAGACATTCTGTTTTAATGTCAAAATATTGCTATAACGTAGCAATTAAAAAAGCACCATTAAATTGTAATAAATAATAATTTAAGTAACAGAATGATCATTGAATGCTTGTTCCTTACCTTTCTATGAGTCTGTGAAATATTTGAGAAAAGAATTAATTCAGTTATTACTAATAGTAATATTATATTATTATTAATAATAATTGAATATATAATATGATGATAAAAATATTAAATAACAAA